TCCCATAGAGATAGTGATTGAAAGGTTGTGGTTAGAGGGAAGGAAGGTTTGGGAGGGTTCAAGCAGGAGGGGGAAGGGCGCTATGTATGAGGCTGACAGAGGTGAGTTATCCTCCCATCTCCATTCCCCATGGACCTTGGGAAGCTTACAGAGTCAATCGCATATACATTCATCTTCCCGTTGCCATTCTTGCATTATCAGCTTTCCAGATTTTGTTTCTAAATGCCTTCATTCCCGCCTTCAACTTCCCATTTTGCCACTTTCCAAATCCACTCCTTTCCAGCTTCCGATTCTCATGTGTCACATCGATTCTCCGTTTTCATCTTTTCCAGTCAGCCCCTTATCCAGCCAGCCTGATGGTTGTGCTCAAATTGATTTCGTGCAGTCTGTTATGACTTGGGGTGGGATGAGTCGATGGGAGTGTGAGATGGGATGAGTCGATGGGAGTGTGAGATGGGATGAGTCGATGGGAGTGTGAGATGGGATGAGTCGATGGGAGTGTGAGATGGGATGAGTCGATGTGAGTGTGAGATGGGATGAGTCGATGTGAGTGTGAGATGGGATGAGTCGATGGAAATGTGAGATGGGATGAGTCGATGGGAGTGTGAGATGAAATGAGGTGATGTGAGTGTGAAGGAGTGCCAAGGCACAAGAGTTTCAGATTGAAACCAGAAGGATGAGATTGAATGGCATGGTGAATGGCATGGTGAATGGCATGGTGATGCTGTGCTGCAGTGCTGTTTCTCTATTTCAGGCATTACTACCTGGCTGATGCTGCCACTGGCCTCTGTGAAACCACAGTAGGGAGCAACTGGTTTTCCTTCAGAGCTGTTCTGCATGAGCACTTGCAGGGCAGTACCGTATGTGGTGGCGACATGACCAACTGATGGGACAATGCAGATACCAGGTGGGAGACAGCAGTCTGGCAGGTGTGGGGTCAGTGTCCGGCATTCCCATCGGCACGCTACGTCTCTACATTTGTCGGGGCCTGTTGTGGAAAGAATGTACAGTAGCAGCAGCGATGTGATGCCTTTCCTGTGCTTGTGAATGTGTTCATGTGTTTACAACACCTCCAGTATTTATATATATACATACCGTGTATGTTTATACCGTATTCTCCCAGACATAACACCCTAGGGTGTTATGATAACCACAGGGAAAAAAGGGGGGGGGGTCTTCTCAAAGGAAAATGCTACATCAGACCTGGGTCTTATTATATGGTACATGTTTTTTCAAGCAGAAAGGATGTGAAACAAAATCAGGGGTGTGGCTTCACTGTTAGATTGTTGGTCAGAGCCGCAAAACCGACTATACGAGGATAACGTGACCCCCCACTCGAATCTGCCACATGGCAAATTCCAGTGGGCAACTCTGGCACCTGATAGGGGGAAAACAGAGCCAGCCTTGCGCAGCGAGGGTTCATGCAACCACTGAGGCCGGAATCGCGCACGGTGCTGTGTTGTCACTGTACCAGTCACGTCTTGACTGGTTTGGTCACGTCCCTGTGCCTCAAATGGGTCTCACCTTCTCCTCGTACAGCGGTTCCAGTGCACGATGATGAAAACAGCTCGGCAGGCTGTGAGAGCGCCTCCGTCCTACACTCTAGCTTCTTTGTTTATAGGCATTTCTTCCATGGCGAGTGACACCAATCTGCAGTAGAGTAGAATGGCTTCCTCTCCCGATTCAAGCAGTACAGTAATTAGGCGCCAGCGGCCATGTAACACTCCGTCTGCCGCTGCTGCACGCGCACGGACGTCGCCTCGCCCCGTCTTGCCCCAGCCGTCTCCTCCCGTTAGTGCTTCTGCCGGCAATGAACCAAGCAGTAGCTCCGAAGCTCCTCGCCCTCCCCTTCCTCGAGTGGCTGTCCCCACTTTCCCGTCGCGTAAGCGCCCGCAGGGTCAGCTGAAGCGCAACGCGAATGCTCAGCCACCATCCCATCGCCATCGCATGACGAAGAAAGTGCGTAACGCGATCACGGTGAAGGAGAAGCTGCACTGGTTGAAGATGCAAGATTCTCAGCCCGACCTGGGGAATCGCGCCCTGGCGAAGCTCACGAAGGTGCAGCCCTGCCAGATCCGTGAATGGAAGAAGATGAGGGAGCGACTGGAGGTCGCATCTAGTTGCCGCCGTCGCCTCATGGGAATTGGCCGCAAGGCGAAGTACCCGTTCATGGAACGGGCGGTCTACCGCCACTTCCTTAACCACTGGGCGAAGGGCCTTGCCGTTTCGGTCCGCATGCTCCAGCAGTGGAGCTCCAAGTACATGAAGCACCGCATGCCCTCGGTGAACTGGCGCACTTCGTTCCGCTGGGCGACACGTTTCCACTCGCGCTGGCACTTGGCAAGGCAGGTGAAGACGAAGATGGGGCAGAAGTTGGCGGCCGGTAAGTAAATCATCATCGTGCTTGTGATTATGACCACGACGTTTATCTTACGCGTGCCGTGGCTCTGTTTGCAGAGTGCAAGGCCAAGGTGGAGGCGTTTTGGGAGTTTGTGCGCCAGATGTGCACTCTGCGCGACTACCCACTCGACCTCATCGTGAACGCGGACCAGACTCCGCTCTTCCCGGAGATGCCGGCGGAGCGCACGATCGAAATGAAGGGTGCGCGTACGGTTCACATACGCAGTGCAGGCTACAAGAAGGAGCGTGTTACTGTCATGCTGGCAGTAACGGCAGGTGGGCTCAAACTTCCTCTGTACGTCGTGTTCAAGCGCAACACCGACCCGAAAGTGCCCAATCCTGCCAGTGAGTGAACCACATCTATGTTTTAGATTGTGCTCTTGCCTGTCATGCGTCACAACTTAACATGACTCTCGCGTTGTGTTTGGCAGGTGTGGTGGTCTGTGCACAAGACAAGGGGTGGATGTACGAATCTCTGGTGCAGGACTGGATCACCCAGGTGCTGGTGCAGTTTCTGAAGCCCCTGCGGGAAACCACCGGTCGCCGCAGGGAGGCATTGGTGGTGCTCGACTCCTACCGCGGCCACTTGAAGGGCGGTCATCCCAGGGGGCTGCACACCGCTTGTGCAGCCTCTGGACGTGTCAGTTAACGACGCGTTCAAGTGCGGGGTGCGTTCCCGCTACAGCACATGGTTCAAAGAAGATGGCATCAACCAAACCACTCGCGCAGGTGAGTTGAGCCATGAGTTCCGTTTGAGCAACTTCGTTCTAGCGACAGCACATGCTCCGCAGGTACACACTCTTGAATCTAAACCCCTTCCCTACCCACAAGTAACCTGAAAAAGCCGCCTGCGGACTTGGTTCTCCGCTGGATCGACGAGTCATGGGAAGCTGTCCCATAGGATCTTGTGAAGAAAGTGTTCGTCACCTGTGGGATCTCCACCCCCAACGATGGCAGCGAGGACCACCTCATCCTTGCCCACATGCGGGACAAGGGTGAGGTGGAGGTGCTTGACGACGTTAACGAGCTGGTTGACGACGAGCTCGTCGTCAACCCCTTCTACGCCGAGGCCCCCTTGCCGGTTGAGGAGCTGGAGGCGGCAGAGGAGGATGTGGCCGCAAAGGAGGAGGCGGAGGCGGCGGTGGCGGCGGAAGAGGAGTGGAACGCGCCTGAAGAAGGCGAGGAGGCGGGAGTGTTCAACGATGATGATGAGGAGTGGTGGCGCGCCGGCCGCTATGACGGAGAGGAGTGTGAGGAATGGGTCGCAGGGGACGATGATGACTAGATAGCACCAGAAGAAGCACCGTAGTGCAAAGCCATAACTACCGTAGGTGGTGATGTTTCTGCTGTTTCTGAGTAAGTGTTAGGTCTAGGTGCTGGTGCTATGTTTCAGTATTAGATTGCACCCCCTAACACCAGGGCCTGTGCTAGGATTTCGGGCATCCTGAGCCCTCAGGGCAACTTTGGAAATTCTCAAGAATGCCCTGAATTTTCAGGGCAATTTTTTATGGCTATCTTGAACTTTCAGGGCACCAACATGAGTTCATACTGATCTCTCAGGGCAACAAAATCACAAGACATGAGAGAGGTGGAGGGGAAGGCACGATATGACTGGGAAGCCCGGTGCATGCATGGTACGGTACGACGAGGAAGTGGCGAAATCCTCTGGAGGACACAAAACCAGTACACACAGCAGGGCGGTGCAGGTCAATTGTGCATGGCTGGCACGCTCAAAACTTGTGTGCGTGTGGCGCATAATGAGTTGTCTCATGTCGTTGAGGCAAGGAAGACGTGGTGCTACCACCACTCACTCACCATCGTCCCGCTTCCATCCCATCCCTACACACCTTTAACCCCTTCTTCCCGCACAGACGAGGACGAAGACGGCGAAGGGGCGAGGTGGAGGTGGAGGAGGGGTAGGAGGGGGAGGAGGGGGAGGAGGGGGAGGAGGGGGAGGAGGGGGAGGAGGGGGGGGGAGGGAAAATGACGAGGCATTTGGCTACATTAAGAGAGTCATAGTTACTCCCGCCGTTTACCCACGCTTGGTTGAATCTCTTCACTTTGACATTCAGAGCACTGGGCAGAAATCACATTGCGTCAACATCCGTCGTGACCATCGCAATGCTTTGTTTGAATTAAACAGTCGGATTCCCCTTGTCCGCGCGAGTTCCGAGACGACCGCTCTCTGCCCAGGGGAGGGTCCCCGTGAAGGGACCGCTCAGTATTGGTCACTGATGTAGTGCTGGTGACTGATGCTGACTCGGACACAGGCCGGGTGATTCTCAGGTGAGTGCTGCTCTTCAGATGATTCTCAGGTGACTGTTTCTCTTTCAGGTGATTCTCAGGTGACTGTTTCTCTTCCAGGTGATTCTCAGGTGGCTTTTTCTCTTTCAGGTGATCTCAGGTGACTGTTTCTCCTTCAGGTGATTCTCAGGTGACTTTGGCTCTTCAGGTGATTCTTAGTTGAGTGATGGACTTCGGAGGATGCATCTAGGTGGTTTCGTTTCGATGCTCTCATCAGTGTGGCCTTGAGGTGGGGCGTGAGAGCATGAGGTGATGATGGGGGGTCAGGGAGGGAAATGATTGCTTGAATCAGCGGGATGGAGATACCAGATGACGTGGAGTTACCATTCCATTCCACCAGCGTCCACTTGCTCTCTTCCATTTCCGCTTTCATGTGCCCCAACATTCTTGTGTGCGCCCTTTCGTCCAATCACTGCTTCTCCACCTGCCTCGTCAATGCTGTCTCACTCCACTCAAAACGCCTCCATGTCTCCCCGCGCCTTCCTTGTAAACTATAAGCGTCCCTCACGACCACGATCAGCCTCTCTGCTTCTTGAATGCTTGTGACTGCCCTGTGCCCGTGTTGTGCCTCGTTCTCTTCCCCCCTCTCACTCCTCCGTCCGTACCCTACCACTCTCCCTACCCCACTCCCCTCCCCTCCCCTCCCCTCCCCTCCCCTCCCCTCCCCTTCCCTCCCTTCCCCTTCCCTTCCCTCCCCTCCCCTTCCCTTCCCTCCCCTTCCCTCCCCTCCCCCCTCACACTCCTCTCCCCAAGATGGTGGTGCTGCAGCTCTTCCTGGCACGCACAAGGGTGAGTGAAAGTGCTGTGAGCGCCATGTGCCAATACTGTGCCTCATTCTCTCCCACCCTCCCCTACCCACTTTGCTGGGCGCTGGTGGGTGCTAATGGGTGTTGGTGGGTGCTGACGGGTGCAATTGATCGTTTTCACCATCACAAGCACCTGTAACAGCGTTCATTTTCCAAAGTGGCTCCTTGTTCCCTTCTTCCCCAAAGTTGTCAAACGTCCATGTCCGCCCCAAATTTCTCAACCGTTCCCCACGAATCATCACCTTCCTCTGAAACTCGGGCCCGCATCCCCGCTTCCTTCCGTTTCCTCATACGCCCACCCTCCGCATCCTCACAGTGTTCTCTTTCCTGCATTTTTTTTGCGTTTCTCGCACCTCACGTTTCTCCGCTCTTTCCATCCCCTCTGACCCTACCGCTCCCTGTCCCACTGCTGCTCCCATCAGCTGGGCGTTGCTGGCACAGCTGCTGCAGGGCAGCAAGGTGCAGCACGTGGTGCTCGTATCACAGGTGAGCAGGTGGTGGCTGGTGGCTGGTGGCTGGTGGCTGGTGGCTGGCTGGCTGGTGGCTGGTGGCTGGTGGCTGCGTAAGTGGGTGGGTGGGTGGGTGGGAGAAGCATGTGGTGCTTGTATGACAGGTGCGCAAAGCGTGCAGCAACATGTGCTATGCAACTGGTACAAGTGGGTTCATTCGGACACAGAAGGCTCCGTTTTTAGTCGGCATAAGAGTCGCTTTGAATATTCCATTCCAGGCACACTGCTTGAAGCTGTGTACGTGCCTCTGAAATGGAAAGAGGCGCCTATAATGCCACTCAGGAAGCACCCAACCCTCTTCGATAAGCTTGGTCGTTTGATCACTCCTATCTCTCCACCTGCGCTCCGTTTCCCCCCGACTCTCCCCGTCTCTCCCCGCCCTCCCTCACACCAGCTGGAGGCCTCCTCGCACCCCTCAGGTCTGGCGGGGCTGCTCTGGTCTGCCTCGCCACTAGCAGCAGTGGCAGAGGTGGAGGCAGCACTCGCTGCTGCTGTGGCAGCAGGTGGTGACCGGGAGAGGGGGGCAGCCGGGGAGGCGCGGAGACAGGGCTTTGGGTGCACGGTGGTGCGAGGGGGGGAGGTGGTGCGAGGGGGGAAGGTGGTGGAAACTTGTTTCTCTCTTGGCTCAGCTCCCCACCTTCCCACTCCTTTTTTCCTCTCCTCCTCACGTCCGCTCTTCTCCTCTCCGCTGCCCACCATAACGCACGCAGATCCAGCAACTCTTGTGTGCCACTCATCCCGCAGTGCTCTCCTCTCACCCCCCCCGTAGATCAGGTCAGAGCGACACAGTGAAGCATTTAAGTGTCAGGAGGAGAATGTGGCAGTGGTGGTGGCTGTTCTTCCTCCCCTCTTCCAATCCCTATGGTCTCGTCTCATCAGGTCTCCCCCCACCACCCTTCAGGCCAGCGCCACGAGGGGCAGTGTGTCAAGGGAGGATCTGGCAGCCATGGTGGCAGCAGCGCTGGCAGTGCCACTGCCCCCGCAGCACAGACGCATCATTGAGGTGGGCGTGTGGGTGGGTGGGACGTGTTGGGTGGGATGAGTGTGTGGGTGGTGTGGGATGTGGGTGGGATGGGCGTGTGGCGACGGCGGGTGTACTTGATTGTGTGAAAGTGTTGGCGGCTGTAGCCTGGAAACTTTTCTTTCAAGGTTTATGATCATTAAACAGCATTGGTTGAAAGTTTTTGTCGTCAAGGCACAATTAGAAACACTGCTGGGAATGCCATGATCCACCAAGAGCCATTTCTGTCACTCTCCCGACTTCCCTCCCCTCATCTCTCCCCTGATCTCTCCTTCTCACTCTGACACATGCTGATGGCTCCACCCCAAGCACGTCCAGCAAGCAGACCTGACCTGCAAGGCGAATTTCAACACCTTTCACGCTCCCTCCTGCTCATGTGAATCCCATTCAAGGTGGTCAGCTTCGATTCCCCAAAGGACTCAAACGATGGATCTGATTTCTCACAGCAAATAGCTGGGCTCCCGGCAGAGCCAATCGTCCGGTGACACGTGGATGCCACCCGCGCCTTTCTTGCGGAAGAGATATGCAGGAAGCTTATAATTTATGTTTCGTTGACGTCTAGCAGAGTGGCTGCTATTCTGCTAAATGGGGCTATCGCGCGGTGGACGGTGGAGAAAAATGTATATAGGAGAATGCCATGGCATGTGATGTGATGTGAAACACAAGCTAGCAATGAATGAGCACCACGGTGCAGCTTGACAATAGTGTGTGAGGAAATACACCCTCCTTGCCTTAGCAATGCATAAATAAGACTCCAGTGTTTTAATGGACCTTCGCCAAATTCAATGATTTTTGGGGTGCCTGAAGTACGTACGAAAAAGAATACTGGTGGTGTTGCAAACGCATGTAGACATTGTCAAGCACGAAAAAAGCACCCACATTGCTGAACAGAACGACCCCCCACAAATGTAGAGATGTTGTGTGCCAATAGGAATGCCGCACACTGATCCCACACACATGCTAGAATGCTGTCTTCCACCTATGGTACCTGCCTTATGACATCAGCTGGTGATGTGATGTCATCACCACATACCCCCCTGCAAGTGCTCATGTGGAACACCTCTGAAGGAAAACCAGTTGCTCCCTGATGTGGTTTCACAGAGGCAAGTGGCAGCATAAGCCAGGTCCTATCCTCATGCCTGAACTACTGCAACAGCCCTGCATGAGGCACTACGACACACATATACAGGATGGGTTAATGCATATGCTTGAACAATGTGAGAGCGCATGCTGTTCAGCATGCCGTTTACCCTTTGCTCCCCACTCTCATCCTTCTGGTTTCAATCTGAAATTCCTGTGCCTTACCCACTTCCTCACATGCATATCACCTCATTTCATGTCACACTCACCCACCTCAACTCATTCAATCTTAATATCAACTCATCCCATCTCAATATCACCTCATCCCATCTTAATATCACCTCATCCCATCTCAACATCACCTCATCCCATCTCAATATCACCTCATCCCATCTCAATATCACCTCATTGTCAGAATATGTTATATTTGTCTAGCCTGCAGTGGGGTACTCAATAGTGAGTACAGCCCAATCTAGGGTTTCCTATATGTATCCTCCTGCTTGCTAGTCCAATGCTCCTCTTTTGCTTATTCTCTCTTGCCTGGCTAGCTAAACCCTAGCCATGGCTCCTCATTCTGCCTACTATCTTAACATGGTGTCAGAGCTGTTACGCTCTTGGCCTGTGGGCCCACCTGCTTCCGCTGCTTTCCTGTCTGTCGCGCGCCCCGTGGCGCGCGACGCTGTTTTTTTCTTCCCGCCGCGCGCTCGTGGCGCGCGGCGGTTTTCTGACCGTCGGGCGCCCCGTGGCGCGCGGCGGTGCCTCGCCCCGGCCCTGCCCCGTCGCCTGTCGCGGCCCCGTCGCGGCCCCACGTCGCGGCCCCCCGTCGCGGCCCCCCGTCGCGCCCCCCCGTCGCGGCCCCCCGTCGCGACCCCCCGTCGCGGGCCCCCGTCGCGCCCCCCCCGTCGCGGCCCCCCGTCGCGGCCCCCCGCCCCGGCCCTGCCCCGTCGCCCGCCGCAGCTCTGTCGCGGCCCCGTCGCGGCCCCGTCGCGGCCCCGCCCCGGCCCTGCCCCGTCCCCCGTCGCGGCCCCGTCGCGGCCCCGCCCCGGCCTTGCCCCGACGCCTGTCGCGGCCTCGTCGCGGCCCCGTCGCGGCCCCGCCCAGGCCCTTTTCCCGTCGCCTGTCGAGGCGACCTGGGGGGGGCCCGTGCGTCGCCCCTTCTGCCACCTGTTGTGGCGCCCTGGGGGGCCGCGAGTCGGCCCCTCCCGTCTTCGTCGTCGCCCTGCCCCCCCCCCCCCCCCCCGTAACCTCCCTACCCGCCATCCTGCCCTGCCCTGTGTTAGGGTTTGGGGGTGGCGAGTAGGGGGTGGCGGGTGTGTGGCATCCCCTGCTCCTCCTCCTACTCCATCTCCCACTGCTACAGCTGCCGCTGAGGGGGGTGGGTGTGTGGGAGCTGACGGAGTGGTGCTAGGGGTGTGGGTGTGTGGGAGCTGTCGGAGTGGTACTAAGGGGGAGGCGTGTGTGAGTGAACCTAGGGGTGCAGCAGGGGGTGTGTGAAAGGGGGGTGGGATAGTTTGGGGAGGTTGAAGGGGGGTGGCCGCCGTGAAGCCCGCAGCTCCAGTCGCCCGTGAGACCGTTGCGCCAGTCGCCCGTGAGCCCGTTGCGCCAGTCGCTCGTGAGCCAGTTGCTCCAGTCGCCCGTGAGTCCGTTGCTCCTGCCGCTCAGAGTTAGCAGCGGAGCCAGTTACTCCAGTAGCCCGTGTGCCAGTTGCTCCAGTTGCCAGTGTGCCAGTTGCTTCAGTTGCCAGTGTGCCAGTTGCTCCAGTTGCGCCGTGTGCCAGCAGCTTCAGCTGCCGCCCACTACCTCCTCTCCTCTCATAGTCCCTCCTCCTCCACACTTGCCCTCTGTGATAGCCTCTAGCTTTGCTTACATTTGTGAACTTTAAACTGTTACTTCTTGTACTTGTGCTCAGAATGTGTGGTGACATTGTGATCCACCCTGAGCTTGTTTTGCTTTGCTTCTTGTGCTGATTACACCCCACTTTGGCTATGGGGGTGTGTCAGAATATGTTATATTTGTCTAGCCTGCAGTGGGGTACTCAATAGTGAGTACAGCCCAATCTAGGGTTTCCTATATGTATCCTCCTGCTTGCTAGTCCAATGCTCCTCTTTTGCTTATTCTCTCTTGCCTGGCTAGCTAAACCCTAGCCATGGCTCCTCATTCTGCCTACTATCTTAACACTCATCCCATCTCAATATCACCTCATCCCATCTTAATATCATCTGATCCCATCTTAATATCAACTCATCCCATCTCAATATCAACTCATCCCATCTGAATATCACCTCATCCCATCTCAATATCAACTCATCCCATCTCAATATCACCTCATCCCATCTCAATATCAACTCATCCCATCTCAATATCACCTCATTCCATCTCACATTCCCATCACCTCATCCCACCCCAGGTCATCCTAGACTACATGAACACCACAACCATCAAGCTGGTTGGACAAGGGAGAATGAGCGAAGCTAATAGGAGAGCTGGCAATGACAAGCTGACTGGAGAAAAATACTTGAAAATGGAAATTGATGAGAAAAATGGCAACGGGAAGGTGGCAGGACAAGTAACAACAAAAAAGTGGATAAGAAATATGGGCACATCTGTAAGCCTCGCAACGTCACCCCGTTCCTTCCTGCTGCATTCCTCCTCCTTCCCTTCTAACCCCTCCTTGATAACAGTGGGATGGCAGTGGGATAATGATAGTGAGAAGATGGCAGTGGGATGATGAGAATGGGAACACGGCAGTGGGATGATGAGAATGGGAACACGGCAGTGGGATGATGAGAATGGGAACAAGGCAGTGGGAGTATAAGTCAAATTAATGCATGGACCGTCTTTTTCGTGACGAGCTCTGTTCATTCACAAGCGATAATGATTCATTCTTCATTCAGGTTGTATTCTGTTGTCATTCCAATCATTTTTTGCAATTCTGACCATTGGCCTTGTTTTCGTTGATACACCACTCTTTTAATTTTCAACAAGCAAACCGTTTCTAAGATTGTGTTCAGCCTGACCAAATCTTGTCATCATTGTCTACAATTTTACCAATGTTCATTTTTGTCATAGGTCCATAATCTGACCATTAAAATTCAGCAGTGACCATGGTTTTCCGCTTTAACTCACCATGATTGCTCAATTATGGAAAGTTTTGTGTATATTCTGCTCGTACAGTAAGAGTCCCATCTGAGTATGAAACATGGCCAGCATACCTCATAAATCTCTATTTCACGCTCATTCCGCCTATCCGTGCTCTCCATTCAACCCAATTCATATTAGAGGATGAAAAGATGATGCATTCATAGAAATTACTAAAACAGGCAGAACTACCAAGTCTAAAGTGGCATCCACGCCATTCCTTTCTCTCCATCCACCATTCATTCCCATCTTTCCCACAACATCCCGCGAGGCGGGATGGAAAAAAAGGGGGTGCACTCCTACCACCATCATTCCATATCACCCCCACTAGCTTTACCTTAGTTGCCATTGTGCCACATATTCAAGGCTAAAGATGTCCAAGCTCTACTCACCCACTTCCCCATCCGCCTCATCCCTCTAGGCATCACGTTTGATGCCTTATTTGCTGTTGTCCCTTCCACATTTACCTTGGCCGCATCATGCTTTTCATATTTTGGCATATGCTTTGACCTTGTATCAGAGTTCTTAGCAGGAGCTGCAATAGTAGCAGCGTCAACAGGGACAACAGCAGTAGAAGCCTTTCTCAGGTTGGACAGCCCAACCTTTTTTTCTGAGGTCTGGTTTTTTTTTTAGATTTTTTATACTGAATCTTTTGTGCTGGCTTTTACAGCAGGAATTCACATAGATGCGCAGCTCGTGCTGTTTGCACTGCTGGAGCTGAAGGTGCAAACCATCACGCTCCTGTTGCTTTTGTTAACATCGTTCTTAATGGCAGCAGTTTTTTCAACCATAATCCAAGGCAA